GGTATGGGGGGCGCGCGGGGCGCAGTGACGGGGCAGCTTGTCGGCGGCTCGGCAGAGACAAGGGGCGTTTTTTTTCCAGTTTAGAGGGTGGGTGACAAAGAGCTGAGAGCGGGGCTGCGGTCGCACCAACTGCACCGCACCCCCGCCCGAGGCCCTGCCGTGCGCGCGTGCAAGCGCCAGGGAGCCCACGATTCGCTGCTGCTTGCCGCCGCTGTCGCTGCCGCCTCAGACGCCGCAAGTCGAGGGGGCTCGGGCAGCCCCTCCCAGCCTAGAAAACACAGACACGCCCCCCCCAAACCCACTCCAAACACACACACACACACACACACAGAGGGTCTAACAACAATAAACTCCCCTGTCCCTCAGATCACATCGGATCAGACCACATCAGACCAGCACCATCAGGTCACTGGACACACCCACTTCATCGTCTCGACCGCCCGCCCGCCACCGCCGTCGTCCGCCGCGCGCACCACCGGCGTCCAGAAGCCGGGAGAGCAATTGTGGGAGGGCCGGTAGCGCTCGCGCCCCGCCCACCTGTCGGGGTCCGCCGCGGATTGCCGCCCGGCGGGAGCGGGCTCTGATCAGCGCGGCTGACGGGTTCATGCTGTGATGGGTGTTGGCGTTGTGTTGTAATGCACCAGCTGACAGATGGGGACAAAGGCGATGCACGGCTGGCGCTGTCGGGCCGGGCGCAGAGAGGGGTGCTGCGGCCCGGCCGCATGGGACCCCCCTTAGACCGACCCCACCCCATCTCAACTGCGGCCTCACCCCCTCGAATCCGGACCCACCCATGGGCATCCACCTGCATCAACCTAACCCCATCCAAACCGGCCTCATCCCCTGTGGAATTCCGAACCGGTCCACCCGAAGCCCCGCCGCAGCCGGCCCCCGGCCTGCGCCCACGCGAATACGAAACGACAGCCGGGCGCGCCGCACCGCGCGTCCAGTTGGTCCGGCGGGATGCCGGCCGCCGCCGCGACCTGCGCCGGCTCCAGCGTGCAGCGGCTGCGGCCGCACATGGCGGCAAATCTCAGCCCCCGGCGTGGCGCGGCGCGCCCGCTGGCGGCGCTGTCGGGGGTGAGCGGGCGCTGCTTGTGCTGCTCGTGCTGCGGCGCTTCGGTGGAGCTGGCGCCGGATCTGGGCCAGGCGATCGGCTGTATGGCGTATCCAGATTTAATCCTCCTCTTGACTTCAACGCGAGCCCGTTGTACGGCCAAGAGTGTGTGCAGCGATTGCGAAGACTTGCCTTGGCTTTGCGATCTCGCTCCCCCAGAGTGTTACCAGGCTTGTGTTGTCGTATAGAAGAGTAACATGCACTGCGTTGTAGGCGACGCACAATCGCACGGTCGGCCAGCGGCATCTGCGTCACCAGGGTGAGTGCCTGCAATTATTGTGTGCTGCCACCAGCCTCGGGTAGGCTGACATACGGCTGGGCAACCATTCCAGATGGCGCGCATGTCCCTCTGTGACGCGTGCAATGGTGACTCCTGCAGAGAGTGCCAATGAGCCGAGCACCTCGCCCGCCTGAGCACGGCTGCTCATGCTGTTGACCCCCTCGCTGTGCGTGCTGTGACCGCTGGCTGTGGGGCCGTCAAGGCGGGTGAGAGCCCCTTCAGGTATTGCTTTGTGGTTGAGCTTGAAAAAGCAGGCGGCAGACAGAACCTGCCAGGCTGGCTCGCTCCAGGCGCCGTCTGCTGTGGCGCTATTCCTGGCTGACCAGGCCCCATCAAGTGCCAGCACTCTGACGAACGGCGAGATTGCGTTGTATATATGTCAATCAAGAGTTGAGAGGCTGAAGTTCGTGCCAATGGCTGGCTGGGCTGAGCGCTGACCGTGCAGGCGTACACAGCACAATGGAGCACCCGAAGCCCCTTCTCAACATCCTCGCCCGAGTACAAACCTGCGAGACAAAAGAGTCCCTTGCTCAAGCCGTTATCAATTATAGTGCCACAATCTTCTGGGGCATCTGTGTGCAGTCTGCAGTGTCGGTTGACCCGGGCACTTGCGACAAGGGGGAGTGACGGCATGGCGCTGCAGTATGTGGGACCAGGGGCGAGGTGATCTCTGACCATGTAATCTCCATACCTGTATGCGCTCATTGCCGAGGGGTGGACACAGGCTCGTTGGCTCGCTGGCGATCTTTGCGTCAGCCACTTTGAAGATTTGAGCGCGCGCAATAACGCGAAATATTCAATTGGATTGATACGGTGTCATATCACTCGCTAAACTGCTCACATCTCGGCGACATCTTTCGTTCCCATCTGCATCTCGCCAGGAGTGTGCCGCTAGTTTTGAAACCCACCGCTACTAGGTCGCGCGCGCAGCACAGATGCAGGGCCTGCAGCAATTGAGCGCCCGCTCCAGGGCCCGCCCGGCCTGCAGCAGCGGCCGCGTCGCCGCTGCGCCCCTGCCGCAGCAGCTGCTCCGCCCCACGACGCGCCGGCGCGCGCTGCGGGTGCAGGTGGGCAACGCACTCTGCCCTCCGTTGCGCAGCAAAATCACCTCATCCCCACATGCTCCCCCCATCCATGCAGCCTTGAGAGCATGCGACTGGTCTCCCCCCGTCACCAAGCACCAATCCACGCGCCAGGACCCCAACCAGCGATTTTCGGACACATGCACACCCACGCATGCGCACGCATGCGCGCCCCCGCAGGCGTCCGCGTCGGCCCCCAACGTGCTCCAGAAGCTGGGCCGCGTGCTGCGCGAGAAGGCGGCGGGCGACCTCGACAGATTCGTGCGCGGCACAACCAAGACGCGCGAGCGGCTCGGGGTGAGGCCGCGGCGCTGCAGCGGGCCTGCTGCTTCGCCTCCGCTCGGCCGACGCACTCGCGTGCTCGCTTCTGGCCGCAGACTCAAGCAGTCGGATCATCGAGAGCCGCTTTTTGCAGGCAGCGGGCACCCCTTTGCCCCCTCGACTGCCCCCCTGTCTCCTCATCTCACCCCCCACCCAAACCCACCCCCTTCTCATCATCTACACCCCACTCCCCCCCCAAAATAACTCCTTGCCAGCTGGTGGAGGAGCTGCTCACCTTCTGGTCCCTGGAGGACTACGAGACCACACTGGAGGAGCTGGAGGAGGCACTCATAGTGGGTCACGGGGACGGGGCGGATGGTGGTTAGGGGC